CTGGCATGTGGTGCTGGGGGATTGAACCACGGTCCCTGTGCTTTGCTAAGCTTGTTCTAGGTAGGTGCTTTAGACCACTGAGCCATCTCACCAGCCCCCAATTGAACATATTTTATAAGGCTGGCATTACTCTCATACCAAAGCTAGAAAAGAATACTCCTCACTCTCTCTTTTTTTTTTCTTTTCAGAATTTAGGATTGAACCCAGAGTCTTCTTACTGAACTATATTCTGAGCTCATTTTTACTTATAATTTTGAGAAACTGTAGTACATTAAGCTTTCTAGGACTGGGTTCAAACTTGCTACCCAATTGCCTCAGCCTTCTGTAGTGTTGGGATTACAAGTGTGTGCCACCATGTCCTGCTGGATATATTGTCATTCAGTTTAGGGTTGTTTTGCTCGATTCAGACGCAAAGTGCAGCTTTATTGATGACACTGGATAATGCTGGGTACCAACAGTTGACACAGCCAGCTGCTGATTACTGCCACTGCCAGCTGTCACTGCCCAGTATCAGCTTGTGCTGGACACCATAGATTGACTTGAGAAGGTGCTGGCCTCTGGAGCTCTTCAGAACTAACAGCTCTCAGTGTTTATTGCTTTTTCTTTTGAAATGACTTCTCTGTCTATGGTACTCAGGATAAAAATCCCAAGCATATTTACAAAACTTTTGGAGCCCATGCTACCTGAGAAATAAGTCCTAAGCAGATTTGCAGAAACCCAAGGCAAGTCTTTATTTTAACAAGGCCTGTGTTGTGGCACATGGGGAGGAGGTATACACAGGAGGGAGTCCTGCTAGACTAAGTAGAGAAGTGACCAGGTGTGCTCCTTATATAGCAGCCGCAAGCCTGGGGAGAGCAGACTAGGATTGAAACCAGGGAATCTTCTGGAAGGCTTGATGTGAGGGTTGGGTTTGTAAATACTGATCAGTCAGCTAGGTAGAGGTGTGGAGGGGATGGTTGGACACAAACTTGGAGTTAAAGAGGAAGAGAGGATAGAAATTTGGTATTGATAGCAGATAGATGACATTTAAAGCCATGGGACCGAGAGCTAGCAAGGGAACTGAACACTGGGGCTGGCTGATGTTCAGGTGCACAGAGATGGGTGGGTTCATGTAAAGTCCTCAAACAGGGTCAGGGATGTGGAAGGTTCTCAGCAGTCACTACTGTCAGGAAGAACACAATTGACTGAGGAACAGAGGTTTTCTAATGGGAATCAAAATCCCAACTTTGACCCAAAGTTAGACCACATGGGAGGCTACTGTTCACGAAAAGATCAAGTGGCAATTGCACTGATTTGGTTCTTCATAAATCTCTATTTTCAGAGCTTATTCAAGGGTTTGTCTGATGCAGAATGTTGCATGTGGGCTGAGGAGGAGGAGGAGGAGGAGGAGGAGGAGGAGGAGGAGGAAGAGGGGTGCAGGGAACCAGCTGGCCACCCTGACTGAGCTGGGGTGGGTGGTGGAACCTCTACCTGGCTGTCCTGCTGCAGATCATAATTCTGTTTTACAAGGGGATATTTTTTCTCTAACTTAGAATTTAAATAAGGAAAAGAGGCTATTCATTGTGATCTTCTCAGATACTGTAACATACGGGATGTGAGGAATCTGGCTGTTTGATTTAAATATTTAAGGAAGGGGTTGCCTTTGACATTGCAGTTTCAGTTGGGCATGAAAGTCATATGGCCAAATTCTGTGGTCATGGAAACTGATGGAAACCTGAAGTGACATCTTAGCCCTTAAATGCTGAGTGTTCTGTTTATGTAATGCCCATAACGATGAAACACAATTTTCTTTCTCTTTAAATTCTTACTTATTTATTTTAAAAAATATAAAATAACAAAAAAAGCATTAGAAATGATGCAAAATTTCATTAAACAAAGCAACAGGAATTTAATAATGGTTGCTGTATTGCATGATGTTATCTTCAAATTAGTTGCTTAGGTTACCAGATATAAAGCTACAAAATCTGTTAAAGAAGAAAACAAAACAAAACAAAACAACACCAACAAAAAAGTTATAAGAAATTAAAAAGCAAAAAAAAAAAAAAGAATAAAAAGAAAAAAATTAGACAATAACTACTCCTTTCAGAAGACCAGCAGAAATAGGCAGTACAATTAACCAAACCATCCTGCACATATACATAAACATATCTTTTTCCCTTCTTTCTCTTGCTTCTTCAAAGTCTTTTTTTAATTAAAAAAATGAAAAATCTTTTATTTATTTGGTACAAGGTCTCACTACACAGCTCTGACTCACAGTGATCCTCCTGTTTCAGCCTCTCCAGTGCTGGGATTACAGGCATGAGCCACCACACCCAGCTTTGGGGCTGGCTCAGCATGTGCTACTGGGGATCGAACCTGGGTCCAACCACTTGCCAGGCAGGTGCTTAGACCTCCAAGCTATCTCCAGCCCATCTTTTCAAATAGTTGTTCCTTGAAGTTTTTTTTTTATGTAAAATATATGAATTTCATGTAAAAATAAGAAAATTGCAATTGTTGGCATAAGTAGACTACTAATTTATAATTGACAATGTCTTC